CCTTCCTTTTATTAACTGGCTTCTGCCTGGTTCATAATATAGTCATGTTGGGGATGGGGACCAGGAGGCATTATCCTGCTGTAGCTTTCTGGAAACTCAGGAAGTGATGAAACTTACAACTCTTCCTGAAATGTTGGGTGTACTTCCTGAGGAAGAAGTCAGAAGAGACTGTAGCTTAATTTTCTGGTCCTGATCATTACATATTTTCACGTGGACTATTTGTTTTGTTTATTGTACCAAGGGATTGAACCTGGGGTGCTTAACCACTGAGCAATATCTCCAGCCCTTTTTATTTTTTGAGACAGGATCTTGCTAAATTTCTGAGGCTGGCTTTGAACTTGTGATCCTCCTCCCTCTGTCACCCAGCCACTGGAAATATAGGCGTGCACCACTGTGCCTTGCTGGGCTGTTTGTTTTCATTTTCGAATTTTCTAAGAGTAGAGTAAGTCTTAGATACAGTTTAACCATTTAGGATCAAAGGCCATCTGTTATGCTGTCATAGGAGAAATCTCACATAAGTCGATTGCCTGATTTAGTGCTTTCTAGGACACACTGTCACAAAATAGAATTATTTTATTTTTTAATTTGTATTGGAATAATAGTCTGTGGGTTCGTTATTTGGGGATTGGTTGACTAATTATGTTACATGTGCAGAATAGAATACTGAAGAACTTTAAAAATGATACACCTGGAATGATGTTGATATGGAAAAGTATTAAAACCTATTAAATAGGCTACGCCAAACATTTATATCTTTTCGCTCCATATATGTGGAAATGCATATGCTACTATCTACTTAAGTCCTAAGATACCCCTCCATATCCTCCATAGATTCTGCATCCATGGATTCAACCAATTGCTAATGATTTTCCATTTTTATTTGAAAACATTGCCCCTGTACTAAACACCAGACTTTTCTTGTCATTTTCTACGCAATACAGTATAACAACTATTTACGTAACATTCATATTGTATTAGGTTTATAAGCAGTCCAAAGATGGCTTAAAGTATACAGGAGGACGTGCATGTGTTATATGCAAACACTACACCTTTTAATGTAAGGCATGTGAGCATGCACATATTTTGGTGTATTTGGAGATTCTGGACCCCTCCTTTGTGGATGCTGAGGAACAGTTGTATGCCAAACTGAGTGATGATTAATGAATAATGTATTGTATTTTATACCTTTTAAAAATAAAGATTATATAGTATCTAAAAATATTTGTTTTAAGGGAAAAATAAGCTATGTTTGTTTATTGTGCGTCCTTCCCCTCTCCCCCTCCAGTGCTGGGCAGTGAACCCAGGCTTTTTTTTTTTTTTTTAAGAATTTAAAACGTAAGGAGATTGAGGGGATGCAGGAGGGTTGGGAAAGGGGCAGAAATATGAAATGGATTTGATAAAATTACACTGTGTACATGTATAAATATACCACAGTGAATTTCGCCTTCATATGTATATCTATAAAGCACCAATTAAAAATAGATAAATAAATAGAAGGAAGATCAGTGGAGTAGAAGAAGAAAAATAGGGGGAGGGAGGAGGGGAAAGAAAGGGGAGGCCCTAGGAACTGAAATGGAGCAAATTAAATTCCATGCATGTTTGATTATGTCAAAATGAACCCAGCTATTGTGTATAATTACAATGCACTAATAAAGGCATTGAAAATTCTAAAATAAATGAATAAATAAAATTGTAGATTCAGGGTAGATCTTATACTTTCGAGTGCCAGGAAGGCTTTTTTTTTAAATCATGAAATTCCTTTGGATAAGAACAACTCATGATCACCATAGAAATTTTGAAAAATAAGGAAACACATAAAGCAAAGTAACTTAACCTACCTGCTTTTTAATACCCCTGTTTATTTCTTCAAGTCACCAGTTGTTTAAGATATATTTAAATTTCCATGGTCCTGTGTTTCTTTCCTGTCTTTCTGAAGTTTTTCTAATTCTGAGTAGTGATTCATGCTTACCCCTGGGTGATAGAATAAAGAAAAAGGTTAGGGGTCGTTTACCATTAAGATTTCACTAGTGACAGCTTCAATCTCTTCCAGGGCTTTAAAGCCTGTACTGTTCTGGTTCAAGGTCTGTGTTTTGGGCGTAGACATTCTAAAATATGTTGAAGGGCAAATCTAAGTTTTAATGACAGAGTTTTAGATAATCTTTTTAAATTTGCTTCTTTCAGTTTCATTTACAATGCCTGATAGCCAGAGGGACTATTTCATAAGTACTTCATGAACATTTGCCAAATGGGGAAAAGAATTTTAAAAAGGGAAAACCAAAAATGAAACTACAAAAGATAAGATAGTAGATGAGCTGCAGGCTTTGGACAGTAAAAAGACAGTTAACTTTGGACAGTTAATTCTTTAGGAAAACAGACTGATGCTGATATTGTTCTGGTCTGACAGATCAGAATGGGTATTTTTAAAAATATTTTTATTAGTTGTTGGTGGATCTTTATTTTATGATTTATATGTGGTGCTGAGAATCGAACCCTGTTCCTCACACATGCTAGCCACAACCCCAGTCTCCAGAATGTTTTTTTTTTTTTTTTGTTTTGTTTTTTAAGACTTAGAAGATGGATGATAGATGGGACCAAAATTAAAGTATAAAACAGAGACACATTTAGTGCCATTTACTGAGATGCTTTTAGTTTTATGTGTAGTTTGGTTTTCTAATAAAATAACTACGATGTTGAAAAGGTCTGGAAAATATAAAACTGTTTTTCCTGTTAACTTTTAACAAAAAACAAAACTACAAACTCTCTGTATTTTCTAGACTTTCCTAGCCAGATTTTCCTAGCTACTCCCTAAAGCTTTACCTCTATTTCAGCTGGAGTTTGGTCCATATAAAATATTCATTCCTATTCTATAAATAGGAGAAAATATACCATTTCCATCTGTCGTGGCTACAACTATTAAATTTTTCTCTGGACTTTTGAGAAATTAAATCATAAACACAAATAACCTTTTTTGTCAATTTTTATAAAAACATTGTTATGAAGGTAATACAGCATCACAGAGTTTGGGGAAAATTTATAGAGACTAATCATTTTTCTAGGCTTATCATCATTTGTACTTATTGAAGTTCCATCTACAGGTTGGCCATGTATGATAACTTTTTGTTCTTCATGGTTCCTATAGGGTATTAGAATTTAGGAAAAAAATGTTGGATGGTCTTCTTGGGACATGAATGTGTTAAATTATTTAAAAAATTTTTTTTAGCTATAGATGGACACAGTATCTTTATTTATATATTTTTATATGATGCTGAGGATTGAACCCAGTGCCTCACATGTGTGAGACTGAGCTACAGCTCCAGCCCAAATTATTTAATTTGGGAGAGTTTTCTTTTACCATCCACTGCCTCTCATCTCAAAGTAAAACATGATGGTTCTACTGTGGGATTCAGTTGAATTACAGTTTTTCTCATCAACTCCTTTCTCATCAACTTCTTTTCTATATTAAACTTGAAGCTTTTTCCACTTACTTTCAGATGTGAACCCCCAGGACTGGTATGTAATGCTTGGGAACTCTTCTGCTATTTATGTAGATACATACTGATGAGAGGGTAGGGCTGCCTTGGGAATCCAGGGCCACCCAGAAGTAAAAGCAGCCTAATTTAGTGGGTTTCCTGAGAATTAGATTGGAAAAAGAAAGAACTGCATGCAGCTGAGAGAGGACCACGGACAGAATGAGTGACTTCAACACAACCAGACAATAGGGGCAGGTAGACAGCCTGGACACGTCTGGATGAGGTGTTGAGAAACTGTCCTTGTCATAACCTGTGTGAACTCTGGGCTTGATCCTAATACAAAGAAAAAATGCTCCTTCTTCCAGAATGCCTGTGGTTCACAATTATATGTGAAGTGTCTATTGTGGGTACCCAACAAACCTTTTTTTTTTTTAAATTTTTTTTTGGTTGTCAATGGACCTTTATTTTACTTATTTATATGTGGTGCTGCGAATCGAACTCTGTGCCTCACACTTTAGGCAAGTGCTCTACCACTAAGCCACAACTCTAGCCCCTGACAAATATTTTTGTTGATGTTGATGCTACCTGCTTTTTCAAGTTAGTTTTACACACCCCATTTGATAGATGAGGAAATTGAAGCTTATGACAATTCAGCAACCAGACTAAAAATAACACAGCCATTAACTCTGGCATAAAGTTGAAGTCCTGCTTCTCTCAGAATTCACTAGATGGTACTCTTTAATAGTAGCACATTCATGATAAGATCCTTGAGGATTGCTTATTTTTAAGTTTGGAGACTTTGTTCCAAAGAGAATTGTTGTTTACCTACAAGATGTAAAATTTTCTGGGGTCTTGGGCCCATCCTCAGCACTTAGTATTGTTCACGTTCTTTCCCCCCATACCAGGACTTAATAGAGAGCCACATTCCCCTTCCACCCCCATTTTTTTTTTTTTTTTTTTTGTGGTGCTAGGGATTGAACCCAGGGTCTTGTGCATATGAGGCAAGCACTCTACCAACTGAGCTATATCCCTAGCCCTCCCTGCCCTTTTTTATATTTTATTTGAGGCAGAGTCTCAGTAAGTTGCTCAGGGCTCACCAAGTTGCTGAGGCTGACTTTGAACTTGGAGTCCTCTTGATTCAGCCTCCCAAACTGCTGGGATTACAGATGTGCACCACCACACCTGGATGCTCACATCTTTTCAAACATCCATTCTAGTTCTCAACTCCACCACTTACAAGCTGAATGACCTCATGTGGACTGCTCCACCTTCCTTTTTCTTTTTCTTCTGATGCTGGTGGACAGGGTGGGGGGGGGCCTTGGACATGCTAGGCAAGAGCTCTACCACTGAGCCACACCCCCAGGCCCTGCTTCACCTTTTAAGCTTCATTGTCCTCATCCATAACTTAGAGACAACAATATTTACCCCCTGGAGTTTTCTGAGGGTTAAATTAGCATTCTGCATTTGTTTTTGAATGTGGTGTTTACAAATGAGATACAGTATTATAATGAAAAGTTTCTCCCATTGTAGGTTTTCTTGAATTTTCTGTGGGGAAATTCAGATACTTCGAGCTCAACAGGCTATTTCCAGAGGAAGCTATTTTGCGTCATATTTCAAGTAATGTGACTTTCCTTATTTTCCAAATACACTCACAGTATCGGAATACAACACTTTCTTTTTCTCAGGTATGTATCAAGGATTACTTCAGCAAAAATATCATTTCCATATGTTTAGGTCTTATGTGTGGTATAAGCATTAGAATTTGATGTCTCTTCATGTTTATGTCTTTTGTCTTAAAAAGATTGAGTTGGGGGCTGGGGTTGTGGCTCAGCAGTAGAGCACTAGCCTAGCACGTGCAAGGCGCTGGGTTTGATCCTCAGCACCACATAAAAATAAATAAATAAAATAAAGGTATTCTATCCAACTACAACTAAGGAAAAAAAATTAAAAAAAAAAAGATTTGAGTTGTCAGGTTAGTAATTGAGAGCAGCAGATGTTAGTACTTCAGTACTTTTTCTTTTTTTGGTACTGAGGATTGAACCCAGGGAGGCTTTACCCCTGAGATACATCCCCCGTCCTTTTAATTTTTTGAGACAGGATCTCATTAAATGGCTGAGGCTGGCCTCAACTGGTGATCTTTCTGCCTCATCCTCCCATGTCACTAGGATTGTAGACATGTGCCAGTGTGCCAGCCTCTGACTTAGAGCTGGAGAGCCGAGTCATGGGAGAGGGGTCCTGTGCCTGATGTCTCTTCTCTGCACTTAAGTTTTCCAACCATTTCATTTTCTCACTCTGTGGGTCCTTAAATAATTTTTCTGATAATATATTTTAATGTGTTTCCATTGTCATTTAGCTATTTGTTATAGCTTACTGAGAACCCTATGTGATCACTTTTATCCTTTGGAGTCTCTCTTGCAAACAAATGAATTCTTTTTTGTGGGGGGTGGGGGTGGAGGTGGGGGCAGGTACTGGAGATTGAACCCAGGGATGCTTAACCACTGAGTCACATCCCCAGCCATTTAAATTTTTTAAATTTTTTAAATTTTGAGGCAGGGTCTTGATAAGTTGCTGAGGCTGGCTTTGAACCAGATGAAGGAATTAATACCCAGTTTAATCCAGCCTTGCGCTGCACATCCAGCAGAGTTAAGAACTCTGCTGTAGATGTCATCACTAACCCCTTAAGCTAACCTCAACTTTGGAAAGCTTTTAGTTGGATTAACTTGAACTTTTTAGGATCAGTCATTTATGGTAACTTTTCACAAATCTATATTTGGCCTACATGAACCCTTAGACTAATGAATGAATTTTGCCCTGTGTGAAGTTACACTTTTTATTTGTTCCAAGCCTATCTTCTAATGTTCTGGAATTTGGTTAACAAACCTGTCTCAACCCAGTACATATGCAGTTTGATAGGCATTGGTCATCTTGTATTTATGGGGTGCCATGTGATTTCTTGATACGTGTACACATTGAGTAATGTTTAAACCAGGTTAAACATACCTCCTCAAACATCTATCATTTCTTCAAGGTGAAAAAATTCAAATTTTTCTAGCTTTTGCAAACAGTGCTTTATAATTATCTGTACCCATTCTTCTGGGCAAATAGCACACTAAAACTTGCTCTTATCTAACTGTAACTTCCTTCCCACTTATCAGCTTCTCCCCATCTACTCTCCCCAGCCTCTGGCAACTACTGTTCTACTCTCAACTTCTGTGAAATCAACTGTTTGAGATTCTGTATGTGAGTGAGATCATTTGGTAATTATCTTTCTGTGCCTTGCTTATTTCACTAAACATAATGATCTCCAGTTCTGCCATGTTGTCACAAATGATAGGATTCAGTTGATAACAAAGACAATAAGAGGATGGGAAGGGCATTTAAGTTTATTGGATACTTTGTGCTAAATCTGTGTTTCTTAAGCTCTTGAAGCCAGAGACTGCTTGTTCGTGGACCCTCTCCCAGGCAAAATACAACTTCATAGGGGCCTCTGGAGACTTAGGGAACCCTCTGGCTCCTGTTTGGGAACCTCTGTGTTTGATATCCATATAGTGAATTCTCATAGCAGCTTAGTAACGTAGTTGTGATGCCTGTTCCTACATTTGAGGAAACAGATCTTTGATAAAGAAATGTTGTCATAATAAATGACCAAAGAGATCTGGCTGAACAGCATCTTGGGCATTGATTCCATGCAGAAAAATCTTAGTTATAATAGTTTTCATTTCTTGGGTCACTTTTATTTCCACTATTCATACTGTTTAGAAGATGATGACCAGAACTGCATGCAGCTAGAAATGAGAGGTCTGTGTGAGGATTGTTTGTTTCCTGCATCCTAGAAACTGTTGGTTTTTGGGTTATCATGACAGTCAGTTGTTTCTTGGAGTCCAGTGACCTTACAGTTAATTAATACGTGAGTCATTTTTGTGTATGCTTGTCAAATTGAATCTGATTCCTTTATCTGTCCCCTGCTTTTTTTGTTTTAAAAGAGCATTCTGAGTTTGCTTCCTTAATATTTTATTATTAAAAAAGCATTTTATTATTAAAGAAGATTTCTAAACAGATGGGATTGGGGGGTGTAATAGGGAGAGGAGTGTAGGGGAAGGATTGGGAAGGGGCACAAGAAACTTTTTGGAAGTCCTGCATATATTCATTGTTTTGAATTGGTGATGGTTTCACAGGTGTCTGCATGTATCAAAACTTTTCAAATGATATACTTCATGTGCAGTTTATAATATGTTAGTTACAACTTAGTTACAAAAGGGTTTCTAGAAACTGAACTCCTTTGGGTTGGGATTTATATATCTTTATCGTCTTAGTACTTAGTAAATTTTAACTCAGGTGAATCAAAATGCTTGTAAAAATCCATTGTGCAATTCCTGATCAAAGATTTTTGTTAGGAATGAATATGTCCTCTCCAAATTCATATGTTGAAATCCTAACTCCTGGTGTGTTGGTATTTGGAAGTGGGTCCTGTGGAAAGTGTTAGGTCCTAAGAGCAGAGTCCTCATGCGTGGAATTGGTGCCCTTGTACAAGAGGTGCCCCTTCTGCTGTGTGAGGATGCAGCTAGAGGTTGACAGTTTGCAGCCTGGAAGAGGGTTCTCACTTGAACTTAACCATGCTGGCACTCTGCTCTCAGATTTCCAGCTTCTGGAACTATAAGAAATGAATTTTTATTCTTTATATACAACCCAATCTATGGTACTTTGTAATAGCAGCCCAAACTGACTAAAACAATAGTGCATTTTAAAGAATTCTACTTATAGATGTGAGCATGTGAACATAGGGATGAAAAGAATTTCTTAATTATTTAAGAAAGGGCTGGTTCCTCCCCATCCCCCATTTTTCGTTTGAGTATATTTGAAATAGGACTTGCATACTGGATCAATTCTATGTCTTTTGCTCGACTTCCTATTCATGGTGACTTTTCTTCCTAATTGCAGACTCTCCTTCCCAATACCTCAGGAACAGGCAATGACAAAGGACTGGTTTTTATTCTTAGACCAGAGCAGAGTATGTGCACTTGGTATTTGGAAACTACAGATGCTGAGCCTGTTCAAAATGTGGCCATTCCACTCTCTTACTCAGAAAGAGGTAACCTGTCTTTGACTCTCTATTACTAAATGGAATATGGGATGTGTTTGGGAAAATTTAAGGAAAATTATCCTATTATGATTGCTTGTTGTAAGTGCTATTTAATCAGAAATATTTTAATAGCAAGGGAGCTCAAAATCAGCATGATGAGTGAAAGCTCAGGTGGTGATGGGGAGAGTATATTTAAGGAGCTCTTGGAAAAGCAGAAACAGAAAGGTAAGACACAGAACTTAGCAGTAGATTCTTCTAAGTTGAGGAAGCAGTGAGCTTAAAGTTTTGAAGGAGGAGTGTGGCAAGTGGGTGTGGCTGGAACCAGAGTGCAAAGGGCCTTATACAGCATGAAGTTTGCATTCTATCCTGAGGTCAGTTCTAAGGAAGCGGAGAGTTTCCAGGCAGAGGAATGATGGGGTCCATTTCATCTTGGAAAGCTAACCCTGGAGCCGGTGTTGGGAGTGGATTGGAGAAAGCACAGCAGAGTCAGGACTCAGTAAAGCTTTGAGGGTTCAGAGTGGGAAATGAAGATCTGAGCTGAGGCCACAAGATGGGGTGGGGAAGAGGTCTTGAGATGTTTGGAAGGTAGCATTGATAAGACACAATGACCAGTGGTTTGGGATTACTAGAGCGGTACATAGACTTCCTATATGGACAGCTTGGAGATAGCGATGGAAGTAGGCAGAGGAACAGGGTTGTTGTATTGGATGTTTTATGGGGTGCGATGGAATAGATGATGACTTCAGTTTGAGACGCAGTGAATCCCAGATGGGATTGTTGGACATATGGATGACAGTGCGTAGTGGGCAGTTAAAATATGGACCTGGAATGGAGGAGTGAGGTGAGATACTCAGCAAAGGAAAAGCCATGCTGTGAGTGAAATTGTCCAGGCATGTACTTAGAAAACTAGGGGGAAATGGCAGATACTTTCCTAGTTCCTACTATTTGTCAGGCACCATTTCTGGGTGCCTGGGGGATATTAACTGCTGAGGAATAAGCGTAAGACTGAGATGTGGTCTTGGAGGTAGGAGAAGAGCTCAGAGGTGCAGCCTTAGTAAGGAGTGGAGAATAGCACACTGTAGGGAGGTCCAGAGAAGTCATCAGAAGGGTCCATCTGATAGTAATAAAGCATGAGTGGTGGCTTTTAATGGGAGTCATCTTAGTGGCATAGACAGGAGGGATGAAAATGAGATTACAGTGACTGAGCAGCGCAGGTGAGGTGAGGGGAAATTAGGCCATGCTTAAAGTTTAGGGAACAAGGGAAGGAGAGGAGCGATAGGTAGTAAAGGAGGTAGAATTCGAATGATTATCAGAATCAAGGAAAGGGAATGCTTTCTGTAACTAAAGAGTAATTACCTGGTAAAAAGTTATAGACTCACCAAGCATGGTGGTGCACACCTGTAACCCCAGTGGCTCAGGAGGCTGAGGCAGGAGGATTACAAGTTTGAGGCCAGCTGCAGCAACTTTAGCAAGGCCCTAAGCAAGATAGCAAGACCATGTCTCAAAGAAAAAAAAAAAAGGCTGGGGCTATGACCTAGTCAGTGGTTAAGCATCCCTGGGTTCAATCCTTAGTACCAAAACCGAACAAACAAATCCATAGACTTCAGCCTTCTATCAAGGACAGTGTAACCCACCCTGCAACCTTCCCCAAAAAAGTAGAGCTTCAGGTGGGATGCATATCATTTTCTTAGGTGTTGTAGATATTTGTAAGTGCAGAGAAAGAATATTAAAAAAAAAGCTCAAAATTTTGAGGAAGATTCCACATAATATTGAAGCATACACTATATTCCATCTCGGCTCTCACCAGGGGAAGTCTACCACCAGAATTCCAACAGTTTGTGAAAACCAAGATTCAGCTGTGGGAATAGATGGATGAGTGTATGAAGTTGTGATCTAAATCTTTAGGTTGGTAAACCTGCTCTGTCTTATCTCTCCATATGACTGCATAACACACCGTTCTTCATATGGAGTTGAGCTAATGTCAAATGACTTCAGTAGGATTCTTCACAAGAAAAGAGCTATTACAGTCACATGATTAACGTCAAATTACCAAAATCTATCTTGTGTTTGATTAAATACTCAAGTGCAATTCACATAAATGGCCCTAGGGTCATTTATATTTACTCTTTTGTAGAAACACAATGACTGTTTCTACAGTAGTGAGGATGATACCATTTTTCTCTGTTGAAAGAGGCCATATGAAAAGCAGATGCCCTTACCTCTTTTATCTTTTATTTTTGGAATTAGGGATTGAACCCAGGGGTACTCCACCAGTGAGCTACATCCCAGGCCTTTATATTTTTAATTTTCAGACAGGGTCTTGCTGGGAGTCTTGTTGAGGCTGGCCTTAAAATTGTGACCCTCCTGTCTCAGTCTCCAGATTCACTGGTATTACAGGCGTGTGCCCCGTGTTTGGCTGCATCCCCCTACAGTTGTTACCCATGGAGTTCCCTTTCTTTTTGACAGTGATTTTCTCCCCCCATCTTCAGATTTTTAAGCATTTTTTTTGAGTCACAGACTCCAGAATATAATAAAAAGTTTTCTCCCAAGGAAATGTAGAAATTCAATATTTAGCAATTTCAGAGTGCTTGTGGAGCCCATGAAACCCATTTTTGGACCTCAGTTTAAAAATGTCACTTTTGACTGAACTCTAGAGATTGGCATGCTGGAGATGGTAAGCCAGATCCAGCTTGTTGTCTGTCTTTGTGCATAAAACTTTATTGAAACATACCTGTGCCTGTTCATTTGTTATTATTTGTGGCTGCTTTTGTGTCTCAAGGGCAGGACTGAGCAGTTATCATAGAGACCCTTAGACCCACAAAGCCTACAATAGTCCCTGGTCTAGGGTCCTCATCCCCATGATCTTCCTCTTTAACCAAGTCCTTGAAATAGTAGAAAAGCAGAAGCTCTGTGTTTATATTGGGAAGTTCTGTTAACACTCCGCTTTTCTGAGCCTGATTTGGATATGTAAGACTTCTTTGTTAGTAACTTTCCTATTTTTCGTTCAGATCCTATCCCTGGAGGCTGTAATTTGGAGTTTGACTTAGACATTGATCCCAACATTTACTTGGAGTATAATTTCTTTGAAACGACTATTGAGTTTGCCCCTGCAAACCTAGGCTATGCAAGGTATGACCATCTTTGTCTCCTAAAACTGCTTTTAGAATAGTCATGACTGAATTTTGTGTAAATTTAGCAAACTTTGAGATCTGTAGTTCTCTGTAGTGAAATTGAATTGTTTATTTTTTGGGGGAAGGAATTGGTGTAATTTAAACTTTATTACTAATATTT